GGGCTTTCTGTGGTGGGGCTGTTAGTTGTGGGAGCGGCCGTTGTTGGCCTTGCAGTGGTCAGTGTTTTTGGCACCGCTGAGCATACTTTTGTTTTTTCTTCCCGGTAGCATTTCTTCATCTGCACTGGCTCTTTCTTCGTAAAGCACTTGTTGTCTGCCTTCTTCACCAAGAGATCTTGACACCTGTCTGCTTCCGGATACAGACGAATCTTGAAGTCGTCAATGGCTGCACTGACCCCTTGGTCATCTTGCGAGTCCACATCAAATCCAACCATCAAAATGCCGTCTGGAAAGTACTGATTGGACACCTGAATGGACACCTTGTGGACAGCTCCGTTTCCTCCTTCCGTCGTGCGGCCACCAGCATCGAGTTCCTTGCGTTCCCAAAAGAGGGTGTTGTCGTCGCCGACATGGTCTTGGACGAGTGCTTTTGTTGGAGTATCGTCATCGTCGTCGTCTGTGAAGGGACCCAAGTCAAACTGAGTATCCCCAATTGTGACCAGAAACTTGTTTGAAGGCATGGCTGCCCAGACTCCCATTTCGTAAAGGAAGAAATCGATTGTGGCGGCACCCGCCGTTTCGGAGACCTCGAATGCTTTTGAGATTGCCTTGGTGTTGCTGTAAACAGGTCCAAGGACGACATGTCCGTCTGAAAGCTCTTTGGTGCTCCCCCAACTGGCAGCATCACCCCCCGCCTCTTCCTCGTCAAAAGTCTCGGAGATGACTGTGGTACCCTGGCAATCAAAAGAGCAGGTACTGTGGTAACCGGTCAGACGAAGGTTATCAATTCCGGCACTCTCATTGGTAATATCGCTGCTGAAAACAGTTTTCAAAGCTAGTTTGAGCATACCGCCGTCTGCCACCAATGCATTGCCTGGCACAGCGACCTTCACCGTGTATGCTTGGGCTTGACGGGTCGCGGTAGGCCCTTTGGCGCGCTTGTTCGGGTTGCATTGCCAATGCTTGTTGTTGCTGGTTTGGCAGGAAAATCCGCTCGGGCAGCACTTTTTGCCATTTGGCCAATGCCCCATGCCAGGACCCTTTCCGTAGCACCGTCCCCATTTGGCGGCACATTGTGGTGCTAATTTCTGCCCAAGTCCAAAGCCGAGATCAGTTTGTGCCGACAGGGCATTCACGGACCAATCGATTCCCTCCACCACACCGTCACGAGACACATCCTGTCGCCTTCCGTCGAATGCTCCAATGTCAATCTCCACGTCTCCGACGTTGATCAGGAACTTATCTGCTGACTTTCCAGCATCCCAGCTTCCAATCTCATACAGATTGAACTCGAGTAGAACCAATTTGGCACCATTTGAATCCCACGACGCTTCGACTTTCGGGTGAGCTTGGTTCAGATTCAGATACTTTGTAGCCATTTCTGCCCCCTTGTGCTTGGAGGAAGCCTTGTCCTTCACTAGCCCCCATCCGCTGTAGTCGTAGTCATCCTTGTCAAAGTCCTCAAAGAAAATCTCCTTCCCACACTTCTTGTCAACCATCTCCAGAGCAGTCCTGACGGCCTCCTTGGCGGCCTCAACGCCTTGGGCGCATCCATCGACAATACACTCCCGATTGTCGGCGCCGCAGATCTGTTTGATCTCATCCATATTACTGCAGTCATTGTTTTCATCGTAGGGCGGCAACTTGCAATTGTCGTAGTCCTTGAACGATTTGCCGGGCGGGTACTTGAAGAGGGAATCCTTGGGATCGTTGAGGCACCAGTTCTGAACGCAGTATTTGTATTCGGCTTTGCTATCTCTCCTGCCCTTGAAGGGGACGACACCATGCCCGCCTTCGTCGTAATAGTTTCGGCGGATCCACTCATTGTCTTTGTCGTCATCGGGAGTTCCCAGCATGCCCATGAATTTCTCGCCTCTCTCCAAGGCGCAATCGGGAATGCACAAGTCGGCTGCCAAGATGCAACCAAAGTGCTTGGATCCCTTGGCCCAAACCTGAAGTTGAACATCGGATTCTTCATAGTAAAAGACCCAACCTTGCCCTGACGGCTCTTTGTCTCTTGTATGTGAATGCCAGTGGTACTGTTGGCTCCCGCGATAAACTCGCTGCTTCCGAGTGTTTGCTCCTTTCCATCAATGTACACAGTGGCAGGGCATCCACCAGCCTTGGGGTTGAAGTTGTCTGGGACATCAATTTGAATGCGGGGCTCTCCATCTCCTGTTTGGAAGGCAATCGCTCGTGTCACAGTGGGGCGTTTGCGAGACTTGACGTTGGCCTTGCGAAAGCGGCCTTGCAAGGCAAAGTCCGGCTTGGTCGCCGAACGGACAATGTCAAACTCTCCCTCGCCCATACAATCGTACTTTTTCCCATTGAACGTAGTAAAGTGAGGATCTAATGAATGCATGAAGGGTGAGCTCAACGAGATGCCAAACAAAAGCAACAACACTTGAGCAGGTCACTGGGACGGGCACTCACCTCCCCACCAAGAGGCGGACATGCCAGAACATGTCTTGGGAAGCTTCGGAGGCGGCACTACAGGGCACTCGATTTCCTTTTGGCTCTTTTGGATTTCGCAGACTTCTTCGTCTTCTTCTCCAAGGAGCATCGCGTTGGCGCTACTGGCCATGAGGAAACCAAGGATTGCAAGGGAAGGCAGGTGGAGCTTCATACTGTACTTTACTTGAGAGTCAAGTTGCTTGTTCTGCTTTTCCTTTCTCTTCCTAAAGGGATCTTTCTTTGAAGTTGGTTTTATGGTTGTTGGTTATTGTGAGCTCATGATCGGCCTTCCATCTCAACCGAGATTGAGCATATCTTCGTGTGTGATACAGATACCCACATTGCTGTGGATCTTGGTCCCTCCTTGCTTGTCTCCATCGCACTTTGTGGATGGAAACTCGAAGCCAAAATTGCCGGACTGCACCCTTGTGAGAAATTAATGGAAATCTTTTACATGTTTACACAAGTGTTGCTGTATGGAAGAGAAGATTAGGATCTTTGTCGATCGCTGTATGGATCTGTCTGTTAGTGACTGCCGCAAGCAAGAAGTCCACAAGCAAGAAGTGGATTCCGATACGTATCTTCCGATGTCTTGCTTTCTCAGCACCACTGGAGATGGATGATGGATGAGGGATGAGGGCCGTTGCGGGTCCGACTCTTTGCGGATCATGAGCGCCAAATTTTTGGGGAACCACGTCACAAAATACTCTAGCTACATGTAGTAAATGAATTCACACTTCGAAGGGGTTTAGAGTTTAGGGTACGGTAGGTAGATAGCCACCCAGGGCCAGGCTTCACACATTTCAGTACTTCATCCATAGTTGTGTGAAAATGAACGAGCGCCACATAGCATGCTGTTTAGTTTTCATCCATAAAACAACTCTCCGTGCAATCCTCATCGTCGAAGCTAGTAACCCAATCCCCGTCATGGTCGTCGTCGACCAAATCATCGAATCCAACTGGTTTCTCCAGATTCTTCACGACGTTCCAAGCCGCAACCAGATCGTCCCGAACTGGCAGGTAACCCTTTCTCATAATAAACAACATTTTCCCCGCCTGCAAGGAATATGTCTTGGAGAGAACAGTTTGGCCGATCAAAACATGTTGACGTTCCGGTAAGATGTGATTTGGCCCTAGTTGCAGCAGGAAAGAGTCAAGTTTTGCGCTCTCGTCTTCGTCAAGTCTCTCGTGGGCGACCATCGCCTGAGCAGACACGCTTCCAAGGTGAAATCGCAGAAACGGGAGTTCAATGACTTGCCGACCAGCCAAAACAACACTTCCCAAAGATAGTCCGTCGATGCGACTGATGACTAGCGTTGGGGTGCCTCCAGAGCAGAAGATTTGCCAAGTGAAAATATCTTCTTCGAAAACGCGCAGATCATCTGCGTTGCTCGGAAAAGGTAGGAGCATGCTATCACAGCCGCTGTCGATCATGACGAAGGTGTATTTGATGCCACCAAAACTATTGTCCGTGCTGGGGATGAAGAACCGCATCCTGGCATTCTTCACGGCAACGCCAAGAATCTCTTCACGAAGACCCTCTCTCGTGGCTTTGCCGCGACGGCTCTCGTATTCCCCATTCGACGCCATTCCAATGGTCGAAGGCTCCCTCTGTCTATCGTAGCTAGTAGCACGGCCTGATTGCTGTTGCATTTGGTTGATTTGTTGTAATTATGCAGAGATGAGATATTATTTGTTGCTCTTTTCCTCGCTCGCTGTTGTTCGGCCAAACCCGCGTTGCACGAACGTGGGAACCACGACGACCAGACCGTGGCCGTTAACAAAGAGAAATCAGCGTGGACGGCTGGGCCATGGCCATTGATGTTCGGCCTTGGCGACCAAAAGTCATCTGACCCTGGAACTGGTGGGAAGGTTGTGTTGGATGCTATAGTTTCCACTAGCTAGGCACCAACGAAGTGTTTGTGCATGGTTGCAACTGATCGGTGGACTGGAACCCGTTGCACACTTCGAGGAAGCGTTTTGGCTGTGAGACACAAAACAGCTGCACAAACACAAACTGGCACTGAGGGAGTGCACAAACTCCAAGGCAATCTCACCAAACAAATGCACTATGCTGAAAGCTACTAGTACCGTACCGGTAGTACAATTGTAAAGATTGTTTGATGATATTTGAGTACTCGTACAGAAAGTGTAAGGGGGCATCAGCCAATCTCGACTCTTGGAGTAATCAGAGGCGATGGATCATCGACGCTGCTCCTCCAACGGAGAGAGATCCTTGGGTTCCAAAGAGCTGTCTTGGGACTTGACTTGACAGCACAGTAGAACTTTTAAAGTACTGTACTACCGGCAGCGGCACAGACACATTACAAGAGAATTTATGGGTTTGCTGTCACGGAAATTGGTTGAGCCTTTGCGTGTACAGTACCGATAGGAATGTAAATGCAGTTTTATGCCACTGCCGCCACTCCGTTGACCGTCGGACGCTTGGTACGGGGATTTCCCTTTTTGGCCATGGCTTCCAGCAACATGTTGGGTTCTTTTCGATTCATGGGCTTACTGGGAGCAAAGGTGGCGTTACCAGATGTCATCAACAATGGATTGCCGCTGCCTCCAATCCCTCCTGGACCTCCAATTCGGTTCAATCGACTGAGAGCACTGGTGGACTTGTTGGCACTGTAGGGCGTCAACTTGCTGACATTGATCGTTTTTCTCAAATTGTCCAGCGCCTTGCCAGAAGAAGTACGGGTAATGCATGTCTTGGGCGTTTGCAAGTGTTCTTGAAAGGCTTGAGTGGAATCCATTGATGCCAGTCGCAGCGCTCGATTCAAATCATCGGCGCTCGTGGCGCGACTTAGGTAATGCAGCGTCTCGGCGTTTTCCATGCCAACCCGTCGTTGTTCGCGGTGCAAATTGAGAATGCCTTGTCGGTGTTGCTGCCGCTTGAAGCGAGTTTCCTTGGTATCGGCGTGACATTCCAACCCACGGGTAATCTCACTCTTTTTGACACTGCTACGAATGTCTTTGCGAATGGCCTTCATTTCCTTGTCGCTAAACCAAACGGCATTCTTGTGATCTTGATCTCCAATCTCTTTTTCAAAGACCAACGTTTCGGTGCCACCAAAACTAATCTTGTTGCGCTGAAGAGCGCCAGTGGAATTGACCGACTTTTTCAAGGCGGGCTTGGTGGGAGAGAGACCACGAGTGGAGAGACCTCTTGTGGATCCTCCTCGTTCCATGCCTCGTCGAGTGGCAGGTGTCTTGCGTCGCATCAGCTTGCGAAGATCGATATCGTTAGTGCCGTTGGTACCAGTACTCATCTTGGCGGCAGGGTTTTCGGCGTTGAGTTGCATTAGGGTCATCTTCTAGAGGAGTTGCGTAGTTATCTTGGCTTCAGGTCTTGAAATGTTATGGTTTGCTGCTTTGATTTTGTGTGGCAACTCCAGCAAGCTTGGCCTCACTTTCGAGCACTTCTCTGTGGTCGCAGATCTGTGCTCCATCAATCCATCAATCAATGAAGCCCAGTGGTGTTCCTGCGAGTGCTCACTGGTTTGAAAAAGAAGCCGTCTTAATGTCTCCTTTGTCCGAGCCGTTCTTATCGAGCTTCCGTGGAGCAGCATGGAACTGTTCTTTCCTAAGTCTGATTTCTCAGTGTTTTTAACACGAAGTCAACAGGAAACCGAATTGCCGTAATAAGTAGACTAACCAGCCTTCGTCAAGACTTTCTGCGGAAGACTGATGGATGAGCTGATGGATGACTGTCTGTGTTTTGGATGACTGTGGACTGTGTGTGGTTTGTGAGTGTGTGTTGGATGTTGGAGCTGTGTTGGGTTGTTGGAGCTGTTGTTGGCGTTCGCTTGTTCGCTTGCTGTCTCGACCATGATGGTGTAGCTGATGGTGTTTCTTTCTCAGCCGGTGCACTGGAAAGGAAACGACCGATGTAGATAGATGATAGAACTTCACAAAGCCCACGCTATGGAGGACAATCCTGTTCCCCAACAGCACGCTACAGTCGGGGGAACTACATGTACAGTGGTCAGAGCCCCGACGACAGCGTGGGGTACTGGTTCGGTAAAAGTAAGTGATGCGTAGCTATTTGAACCGACGGACATATTACTACTGTACCAACATGTTCTCTACCGCCGTAGATGATAGAATTCACACCCAGTCAAACCAAAAAGCGTGATCTCCCTGGAGTAAACTAGGCCTTCCCCCTGGCAGAGTACTCGTCGTATTGTGCTCACTCCCAACGAACCCAAACCACAGCCAGTATCTACGCTGTTGGATTCGCTGGATTTCCAAACCCCAACCATCCATGCCTAGCTAGTATTCTGCATGCAGCGAATGGCTTGCTGATCGTACCTGGCTGCTAAACGGTCAAATAATGATCCAATGGCCAGGCCGCATACTCTGGTTTGGGCATCGGCGTCCATTCCGTTTTGTCGTATAAAGTCTGCGGGAGACCGGTTGTGGAGCACCAATTATCTCCATCGTAGGCTTCGTTAAAGATCATTATGGTAGACTACGCACTGTAGGCACAAAATACAAGCCTTTCCTCCGAGCCTTTACTAGCCCCCACAACCGGCGCATGCTTTGGATAACGTCTACTAGTATGACATGACTGCGACCTCCGAACGTGAAGCCTGCCGTTCTGTACGTTCGTATCGTCCGTGGCCTTACTTATGTATGTAGCGGATCCACCCACCACAGGAAATGCAGCTTACTACAGTGTCATCGAAGCATTGAGACACAAAACTTTTCGGAGTCAGTCAGAGAGATGTCTTGAAGCAGTTGATGCCTTGTTTTGCTCGCATGGATTGCTTGCTGTTTGTTCATCACTGCACTTGTAATCGTATGTCCGCACAAGGCTAAAATCTTGAGTCATGACTTGAGTTTTGAGATTTGACTTGAGTCAAAACTCAAGTCAGCCTCAAGTCATGACTCAAGATTTTGCTCCAAGCCCCTCGACTTGAGTCAAGCCCTTTTTGCCGTGTTACATGGTCAAATCAAGGCAATATCTATTTTTCGTTTTCTGAAGTTTGAAATTCATTCAAAAAAGCACGAAATCGACGGCTGACCACGTGCATCGTTTTGTCAAGGAGTCGTGTTGCTGTGTGGACAGGAGTGGGTTCTCTTGAGTTTTGACTCAAGTCAAATCTCAAAAACTCAAGTCATGACTCAAGATTTCAACCCTTGTGAGGACATTAGAATGGCTTCCAACAAGACTTTGTCGTTCACTTCTCGTCGTCCTAGCTAGAGTGATCTGGGTATTAAGACCTGCAGAGCATTAAGGCCCACGTAATATTCTTGGGATTGTACAGTAATTGCTATAGTACTACTACAGTAAGACCTGGCTAGTACTAGTAGACCGGTAACATGCAGTCGATAGAGGTGCTTCGATACCAGTAGAGGTGCTGGGATAGGATACCTCTACAGTCGTACTGGTGCCCATAGAGGTGCTTCCCATAGGCTTCAATGCTTCAATAGAGGTGCTTCACGACCGTGGAGGTGCTGGTATGGTAAGTACTAGAGGCTACGTGTGACGTCACGTCGGTTCCTACGTAGACTCAGTACTAGAGGCTACGTGTGACGTCATTCGGTCTTAATCTGCAGGGAAAAGAATTCGATGACCGTTGACTGCATATCTTCAACCACTCCTAACTCCTTCAATATGTGTCACATGGAGTTGGGAATTTTTTGGCTTACTCAGCAACATGTGCTCTATCGATTCCACCCCTTAAAAGTACAGTATAAGATATCCACCTCTGAAGAGAATATTGCGCGAAACGGTCGGTCTTAAAGCCCAGATCACTCTAGCTTGTTCAAAACCCTGCATCAGACCTTGCTGAAATTATTCCGAACCCAAAACGGCCCGACCGAGCCAGTCAGTAAGGCAGCAGTACTGGTAACTACGCACTTGTCCATTATGTCTCTTTATCATCCACGCTGAGGTCTTTGGACCGTGGGCCAGGTAACGAGGATCGTGGGCCACGTGGTCTGACTCAGTCGGTAAAGTTCGGCCAGCAGACTGACTGGCGGCCTCTCGGTGGCCACTCAAAAACGCTACCAAGCAAAATTTTCGTGATATTTATTTCCGCATTACTTTTTCTTCGGCTTTCTCTCTCTCTCTCTCTCTCATAGATTCTATTCACAGTGTGTTGATCATACATCTTTCGCAGCCCTTATCTCACAACTCTTATCTATCAATCAATCAATCAATCAATAACAACGCAACCATGAGTTCTGATCCTGCTGTTGTTCCTACCAATGGTACTTCCAACGGCGTCAATAATGGTGGCGGTAACAACAACACCAATGCTTCCAAAAAGAGACGCGGAAGAAGTCGCAACGGACGCAACAATCGCGGCGGTCGAGGAGGTCGAGGAGGAGGAGACAACAACAAGAATGACAATGACAATGGAAACACCAATGGTAACAACGACGGCAACGGCAACACTAACAATGGCAACAAGAATAACAACAACAACAATCGAAACAGAAATCGGAATCGAGGCCGCAGCAACAAATCGAAAAACAACAACGAGCAGCAAGCCAATAACAACGGCACGGCTACTAATGACAATGACAAGATGGAGATTGACGAGACACCAGCAATAACGACAGTAATGGCAGAGGATAACAACAACGCGGGTCGCAGCCGTCATCAATTCTCCGACACGAGCTTTGTCGATGCTAAAATCAGCAATCCTTCCAAACGAGCTCTGACAGAAGTCTTGCAGTACGAGTACATGACCAAAGTCCAAGAAGCCACGCTACCCGTGATTTTGGAAGGACACGATGTCGTTGCCAAGGCCAAGACGGGAAGTGGCAAGACGACGGCCTTTTTGTTGCCCATTATTGAGCAGTTGGCAGCGGTTACTGACTGTAATAACAGCAACCAGTTTGTCGCCATTGTCTTGTCACCCACTCGAGAATTGGCCAATCAAATTGGAGCTGAATTTCAGAAATTGGCGACTTTTCATCCGGGCATGAAGAAACAATCCATCACCATGATTGGAGGAACCAACATTGACAAGGACAAGAGAATTCTACAAAGTCCGCAACAAAAATTGCGATTGTTGATTGCCACTCCCGGACGATTGCAAGATCACTTGAATCAAAACACGGCCAATATAGTCCAACGATTGTCCCAGATCAAAGTCCTTTGTTTGGACGAAGCCGATCGTCTCTTGGACATGGGATTTCGCCCCGAATTGGAACGCATCATGGAGTTCTTGCCGCCGCCGCAACAACGTCAAACACTGCTTTTCTCGGCGACCTTTCCAAATGTCATGAAGGACATTACCCGAGGTGCCATGCGACAAGATTACAAGTTGATTGACACGTTGGACGAAAACGAGGCCGACGCCAATGTCCAGGTCGTGCAGAAAGCGCTTGTCACACCACTCCAGCATCACATGCTAGCCATGGAACAAGTGCTGCTCGCGCACGCGCAAGAGCGGACCAAGTTCAAAATCATTGTCTTTTTTACTACGGCACGCATTGCCGGGTTCATGGCGGAACTCTTTCGCGCCGATCCACGATACCCGCAATACAATGACAAGACACTCTTGGAAATGCATTCCCGAAAAAGCCAGAGTTATCGGACCAATGTGGCGAAAAAATTCACCAACGAGTCCAATGTCATTCTCTTTAGTTCCGATGTCAGTGCGCGAGGAGTCGATTATCCCGACGTTTCGTTGGTATTGCAAGTGGGTGCTCCTTCGGAAAAGGCACAGTACATTCATCGGCTCGGTCGTACGGCGCGGGCGGGACAATCCGGGATCGGGATCTTGTTGTTGTCGGATTTTGAACGCGTGTTTATGAAAGAACTCGAGGACTTGAACGTGGAGCAAATGCCGCAGACGACAAAACACGAACATGCCACGGAAGAGCGACGTCATTTGCAGCAGTTGGTGCAACAGGACGAACGTCTTTCCAACAGTGCCGCAGCCGCGTATCAGGCGTTTTTGGGATACTACAATTCCAATGTGCGTCGATTGAGACTCAAAAACAAACACGAGCTGGTGGAGATTGCCAATGAATACTCCACCGTGATTGGGTTCCCCGAAGGAGAACCACCGGCGTTGCTGGCCAAAACGGTGGGAAAGATGGGGCTCAAGGATGTGCCTGGAATCAACATTGATCGAGGAGCAGGACGAGGAGGTGGTAGAGGAGGCGGCGGCCGTGGTGGACGAGGAGGTGGCCGCGGAGGAAGGGGAGGACGTCGTTGAATACAGTGATTGATCGATCAGGAAGAGGAGGTGGTAGAGGAGGAGGAGGAAAAAGGGCTGTGGAGGACGAGGTGGTAGTGGAGGAAGGGGAGCAGGGCGTCGTTGAATACATTCAGAACGGGGGCTTTAGAACCGAACAGCTACATAAACTTACACAATAATACCAAAGAACACAACACAACTACTGCGCGTCTATGATAGGCCGCAACGAGTGCCTCAATCCAGTTCCACTGCAGCCTGTTCGATGTGGGACAGTCAATCGTCAAAGCTGGCTAGCAGTCGACGGGCTGCTGTCTAGCCAAAAGCTAAGCCACCCTGCCAGATGATGCTACCGCACCGTAGCTAGTGTAGTACGAAGAGACAGGACACTCGCACTTGGTTGAAGCAATTGGTTGGAAGTCATCATTTATTTGTGCAATTACTTTAAAATACAACGGAGAACCTGGCATGAAAATAGTTCTCCTTGGGGCAAAAACCTCACCGTCGCAGCCTATGAGGTCCACTTCACCTATCGTCATCCTTTTTGTGGGTGGGTGTCTTCGGCTGGGTGTTCATCTCATGTACAACAATGAGACGCTCGAGAAAGCAAATCATCTAAGCAGCAACCTCGTTGTTGATCTCCATATGCTCGCTGGGTTCAGGACTCTCGCGCTTGCTGGCAATGCTGTCTGCGCCCGTCAAGCTTTGTTTCTCCTCGTGCTCATCGTCAACAGGGTACGCACTGCCTCCATGGTGGGACTTGTCCACACCCACCCTTTCTTCTTCTTCATGAACACGGAACCAACCGATTGACTTCAAAGCAAAGAACATGGCGCCCGAAGTTCCCAAGGTCCAGCCCGTGTAGGCAGCCATGCCCATGAATTGGTATCCTAGAAACTTCCATTCACCACCATAGAAAATACCGGTGAACTCTTCGCCCGCAAATTCGGGATTGGCCATGAATGCCACAAAGACCATTCCCACCGCTCCGGCTCCTAGATGAACGGCAGACGCATTGAGAGGATCGTCAATAAAGAGGACGTGTTCAAAAAGGAGAACTTGGGACTGCGTTGCAATGGATCCAAGGACCCCCACGATGATACCAGCCCAAGGTTCCAAGGCATTGGCTCCGGAGCATGTAGCAACCTTTGAACAAGCACGGAAATGGTGAGTATACATACATGGGTATCCCGCAAACAATGAAAATGTGCACACTTGACGACCTACCATGCCACCCAGCAGTCCATTGATGACCCAGCCAATATCCCAAGATTTGGTAGCCAAGAAACCCCAGATCATGGTGACTACGCCTCCGAATGCGCCTCCTAGAGTCGTGACAACGACAGCTCTTCCCGTTGCGTTGTACTGGGCCTCTCCGGCAATCGTATAGGAGGAGCCTCCATTGAAGGCAAAGAAACCAAACCACAGGATAAGCGTGCCCAAAACTGCCAGGGTAACGTTGTGTCCTGGAATATTGACCGCTACCTTTTTGCCGGTTTCCCCATCGATCACAAACTTTCCGGTTCGAGGTCCCAGGATAAAGGCTGCCGTCGCTGCAGCGACTCCTCCCACCATGTGAACGGCACCGCCACCTGCAAAATCGTACACCTTGCCATTCAAAAAGCCATTGGGATCCCAGATCCAGTGTGAGCAAACGGGGTAGATGAAGCCCGCCAAGGCAAAGCTGTAGACCAAGTAGGCACGGAATTGGCATCGTTCCGCCACGGCACCCGAAACAATGGTGGCGGTGGTTCCAGCAAAGACGTAGTTGAAGAACCAGTAAATGTAGTCGACAGTGGAGATCTGGTCTCCTCGGAGTGCCAAGAGGGACGAGCCACCAATAAAGCCGTTTCCTCCGGCTCCTGAAGTTAGAAGAAAGATAGATGATAGGTTACAGGGTGAGCAGGCGAGGTGGGGTACTCGTATACTTCGAGATGATCGTGTAAGCATGCTCTTGTTTGCACGGCGACTCGACTCACCATAGGCAACACTGTATCCGAACAGGTAGTATGCGATGGCTGCTACCGAGGCATCCATCAAGTTTTTCAACATGATATTGGAAGCATTCTTGGCGCGGATACTTCCGACTTCGAGCAGACCAAATCCAGCTTGCATGAGGAAACACACAATTCCCATGGTCAAGACAAAGAATAGATCAATCGAGGCCATCATGTCATCAATCTGAGCTTGCAAGTCCACAATGGTCGCCGTCATGTTGGCCATCTGATCCATCGCATCAGACATACCCGACATGCCGTCCATCATGGAGGACATGTCGACCTCCATGGTCGTGGTGGTAGCGTTGTCTGCCATGGTCGATTATCTTGATTGGTAAGCAAGTTTTTGTGAGATGTTTCGCAGAAAAGAAGAAAAATGAGGGAGCTTGGAGCTGCTTTTGGGCCCTCGGCTACCTGCTTGCATACTTCATCGTAGCTAGGTACCTGGTGCCGTACAGGTGGCAGTACGCAGCATGCTCAAAGGCTATAACAATGCGCGGTACTGGTACCTGGAACAGATACAGTACTGCAATGTTCCAGTTTTCTTCATCGTATTACTGTACCAGGAAAGCTCCAGGCGGCCCACGGCAAATGGAACTTGACACCAGGTCAAGAAGTACGTGGTCGCAACATCCAATGGCCTGTGAAGGAACTTCAGTGGGTGCTTTTGAGGCCGTCAACAAAATGGTCTAACAATGAGCTTTACGCTCCCTTCTGGAGGTCAGAGGCAGGAACGATGAGGACGAAACAATAAGTCGAGCTTCCTTCATCCGTGTGGGAAGGAATTGGCCTCTGCGTGACCAAGATTGCGACGGTGAGGAGCAATTGAATAAGCCCTAACGCTAGTTGGGAAAATCTTCTGCCAGCCGTTATTCTAAGAGGACCAAACGATTTCCCTTGTTTCGATTGAATCATTCGATTCGATTCAATCGAATCCAAGCCATGGTACCGGTATCTTCGAACCATCACCACATCGTGCACACCCGACCTTCAGCAGATGGAGACTGTAACAATCGTTATCAACGACCCGTCCATTGCCACAAGCAGTAACAATGGTGAGGAAGACTCCTTTAAGCTCGCTTTAGTGGACGGCACCGAAGCGTCTGCACTTTCTCAGGCAGTGGCCAGTCGGACATGCTACGAAGAAGGCTCTTTCTACTTGACAGCTGGGCCCAACCCCTCCGATACAGTTGTGCCGTTAACAGCCAAGCTTCCAAAAGGACTGAAATTGTATCTACACGTGAATCAGAAAAACAGGCGGAAGCCCAAGCAACAGGAAGTGACCTTTGTTGACGGTGAAGTTGAGGTGGAAGTTTCTAAGAATGATACGCCTGTGCCCGAAGCGAATGATGCGAATCAAACTTCAGCGTATGCTCCCATTCCGAAGAAAGACGAGGAAGCCGGCAATTCCAAAGATGAGCCTGCCCAAAACCAGGATGAAGATCCCTCGGAAATCGATCCACAAATCCGTAAAGGATTGATATCCAGATTCATAGCGGTGATGAACATGGAGTTGTATAATCCCTTCAAAGACCTCATTGGCCCCTCCAGCAGCAAACAAACCCAGGTGTTGGGCAGCATGTTCTATTTCAGCCAACTAAGTTCCGACTTGGCCAATGAACGAACATTTCTCGCGTGGATTCGAACCATGCTGGCCGCTGTTCGAACCATCTTTTCCTATGAAAAGGTACAGAGCGATGTTACAGCGCGAGACAAGTCCCTCGTGGTGGCAATCATGATGACGGCCACAATGCTCCTCATGGCGGGATTTATGGGTGGACAGCGTTACTACTCAACGCGATACCTGCTGTTGTCTAGGGAAAGAAAGGATACCTACAATATGATCTCCCTTTCGCCGTTTGTGCTTCTTGGATTTGCAATCGCCGTCGTTACCAGTGTCGCGACGTATGCTAGCAAATGGTATGGATAAACCGAGCGATCATAGCAAAAGATGAACCTTACAGTTTAGACTGCGACAAGCTTTGAAGATAACTATATACTGAGCACGAGGATTAGCTGCCATCGAGTGGTGAGAAGACAGGTGTCCACTGCTTGCAAGTCGTACGGAACGATTCAATCTACTGAAGCCCGAGGAGCAAACATACCTTATCTGGGCCACCAAGATCCGCAGCGAGCGGCAAAACAGAAGATTTCCCTGGAAATGCAAAGATACTACGCGCTCTCATTCCCGACGAGGGGGTTGGTTTGAAGTTGGACCCAATGCCTGCCTCTGAGGTCGGCCTATGTACATGGGAGCGTTTTGGAAGGTTAGCTGACATCACAGACCTGAACGCACGAGGAAAGAAGAGCTGGGGCTGCATGATGCGGGATGAGAGATTTGCGGCAGAAACCAACATGGACCAGATACTGGTGCAGAAATGGTAATCAACAGAAACATACTGCTGCAGGGTGGATGGAGGGGAGAGGAAGAGAAGGTTCTGTAGACTGTAGTGAAGGGTCTTGTGGAAGCTACTGGTACCGGTATGACTATACTGGTCCAGGCCTTCGACGTTCGCCTCTTGTACAGTAGGTCATAAGTCGAAGAGAAGAAGCAGCTGGAGCAATTTGAAGATTGGATGCCTCCAATTTCAGCTTTTCAGCGCATGTACCAGATCCTCCACGTGTCATAATGAAACCAACAATCAATTCGTATGTATTACATTTCTACTGGCAAAAGGCAGCCTCCGGGGGATCCCATTTTTCCCTAGGAAAATCAAGAAGAAATTCGACCTACCTGGTCCACCTCCTTTAAACATCGGGGCATCGATTTACAAGGGCCCAATCCAAAACATGGTCATGGTGCAAATATCTAGCTTGTCTGATAGTGTCTGCATCCCATGGACAGCCATGTTCACGGGCCCATTTCAGTGCTTCCAGATGCCCTCCTCCAGCAGCATTTGCACAAGTTCTTTCATCCCACGGGCAGTCATTTGCCCGCGCCCATTTCAAAACTTCCAAATGTCCATAATAAGTAGCATTTGCACAAGTGAGCTCATCCCAAGGGCAGCCATTTTCATACGCCCATTTCAACAACTCCAAATGCCCACCTGCAGCAGCATTTGAACAAGTGAATTCATCCCACCCGCAGCCATTTTCACGGGCCCATTTCAACAATTCCAAATCACCACGTTCAGCAGCATCTGAACAAATTTGCTCATTCCAGGGGCAGCCATTTTCACTGGCCCATTCCAACAAATCCCAATGCCCACCTCTGGCTGCCTCTATACAAGTATCCTCATGCCAAGGGCAGCCATTTTCATGGGCCCATTTCAGTACTTGGAGATGTCCACCTTCAGCAGCACTCATACAAGTACCCGC